CATGGTGGTCGCCAAACAGCAGTTGTCAACGACCAAACATGTTCTGGAGGCCTCCTCTAAAACCATGGCGTCGGCAGTGGCACTTTGGCGTCATTCCTGGCTAAGAACGACCTCCCTCCCCTACGACACACGCTCGTCGGTTGAGGATATGCCCTTCGACGGCCTGGGCCTCTTCCATGCCAATACAGATTCTTCGTTACAGGATCTGGATAAGAGTATTAAGGCCTCCCGGTCTTTGGGGATCTCCTCTACGTTCCGGCATTCCGCTAAACCGAGGTCTTGGTCCCGCTCTTGGCAGAGAGTCCCGTCGTCCCGTCAGTCTCCAGACACTAGATGGAGACCTAGATCTTATTCTGGTAGCCAGAAGTCCTCCTTTCAAAGATCAAAGGCAGGTCCTGCCCAACAAACGTCTCGTCCCAAACAGGGCAAGTCATCTAAGCAGGGTTTTTGACTTCCCGAGTCAGCAAAACCCCGTCTATACCCCTTCATCCGTTCCTGGCGCCACGTCACTTCAGACGAGTGGGTTCTCTCCATCATAACCCACGGCTACAGGATCCAATTCGACCACTCACCTCTGACACCCACAGTCGTCCTCACCCCACCCTCCCCACCTCTCCTCAAAGAGGTGTCCCTCCTTCTGCAAAAGGGAGCTATCGAACCCGTTCCATCTCAGTTCCAACACACGGGATTCTACTCCTGATATTTCACAGTCCCGAAGAGGGATGGAGGTCTTCGTCCCATCCTAGACCTCAGAGAACTGAACAGGTTCGTCACTTACCACTGCTTCCGCATGGTGTCCCTGCAGCAGATTTTGCCGTTACTCCGGGAAGGCGTCTGGATGGCCACCCTCGACCTCCGGGACGCCTACTTCCACGTCACAATCCACCCTTCCCACCGCCAATTCCTGAGATTCGCAATTGGCCACCAACACTACCAGTACACGGCTCTTCCCTTCGGCCTTTCCAGCGCCCCGCGGGTGTTCACGAAGACGATGATCGTCATTGCATGCCCTTCTGCGATGACGTCATCGCATGCCCTTCTACGTAGCATGCATGTTCAGGAATCTGAAGGGCTGTGGTTGAGCTATGAATGGTACAACCTGATATTAACATATAAAATGTAGTGAGACACCTAAGGCCTGAGACTGTCACTTTAAAAAAAACGTGTTACCTGAAGTATGGCAGGAGGGGAGGCACATAAATAGGCATGTGTCTGATCCGGGAAAACAGAGAAATGTCCTGTTTGTATTTACTGGTGTTGAAAAACCAGGCTATCAGTAATAATAGGCCAGGCACCAGGCTTCAGTTGTTGCTAATGATGGTAGTGGTGGCGACTCCTAGTTGAAAGCCTGGTGGAAGAGCTCTGTCTTGCAGGCCCTGCGGAACTGCAAAAGGTTCCACAGGGCCCTGATCTCTTCCGGGAGCTCATTCCACCAGTGTGGAGCCGCCACCGAGAAAGCTCTGGCCCTGGTCGCAGCTAGCCTGGAGTCCTTGGGACCTGGGAGGGCCAGTCGGTTTTGTGACCCTGACTGACTTCTATTTGAATTTGGCAATTTCATTTTCTGTGCTCAGTTTGGGGAATAAAGATTCCCCCCCTTCTAGTTATAAGGAGGAGCAGGCAGCTATGACGGAATGCACAGAAAAGCAGGTTTTAAAATGCTGCTTGTTTCAGAGAAGCCGGGAGATTAGGAGTTAATCTTCCCTGGAGAGTTTATTTGATAGGCTGCTGTACAGGTTCTTGGATTGGCCAGCATCAGTTGAGAGAAAGTATAACAACAGCTGTTCTGGAGGGAAAAGAGTTCCACCATCACTTGTCAGAGAGACTTTTTAGTCTATAACAGGAGTCGGTCTTCTGATAGGGTAAGTCAGAAAGATTCGTCTGCAGAGAGAGGAGAAGAGACTCCTTTGCCCTAACTGTGTTAAGAACTACTCTGAGGGAGAATTGAGATTCTAGATCCAGAAAGCTACACAGACAAAAGTACTGGAAGACAGATTTGGCAAGGGTGACTGGGCAGTTAAGGCTGAAACTCCCAATCAAGCCAAGTAGAAAAGGGTTATTTCTTCTTAGGGAAAAGAAAAATAATTCCTGCCAATAAAAGGGGCTTGTTAATGCCCTGTCTTTTAGGCCGAGAAAACAAGCTTGCTGTAAAAGTGAAAAGGCAAATCTTAAATCTGCGTGATGATCATCGTTGTGAAGGCTGCCTGTTCTTGTTTTCATTCTGTAGTCATGCCACAGCCTGCCAAGCCTGAATAGACCTAGAATGAGTTTAGAACACTTTCCTTTCTCCAACAGCAGTTTAAACCCTCCCTCAGAAGTTAAATGGGGTGTGTTCAAGGCTTAATCCCTGGTGGTTCTCAAATGGGCCTTAATTCGTACATGTAAACAGGGTCCTTTTTTGTTCCTCAGGGTCCAGTTGTCTTCGGCGATCTCCAGCACGAAGATGTGATGAAGCAGCCAAATCGATTAGGCTCTGCAGCGGTGGTGAACTCCAGAAGGAACAAAGCGCTGTCGCCTCCCTCCAACACGAAGGTGCCTCCTGGAGACAGGCAGTGTGGTTTGCCTCCCCGTATCCCTTCCTACCTCCTGCAGAACACAGAGAAACTGGTCAGTTCATAAGTCTGCATAATCAAGAATATTAATGCACAGTTTGTGTTTTTGTTACACTGTGTGGTGCCTTGCACATAAAATTGCAATTGCTGTTGTCAGGGCTGGGTAAAGACTCACATGTATTTGGTCGCTGAGTGTCTAGAAATTTAATGGTAGTATAGGGAATTGGAGCAGTGCAGGGCTATTGCTTTAAAAAATGATGCTGATCTCTAAAGCACTTGGAACTTGAATGTTTTGTGTTCTCCCCAGGTTTGCCTCAGAAAAGTCTGGGTTTGTGCTTTGCTTGTAAATGAGTGCTATACCTTCCTTTTGATGTGTAGGTATGTTTTGGTTTATGAGATAGACCTACGGTATTCCTAGACACTCAATTTTCTTGCATGTTGGACACTATAGTGGAAGGGAAATCAGTTACAGATTACGCTGTGGAGAAACTGTAATGTGTTACCTCTGAAAATTGTTGTTATTTAAATGTCTGAATTGCCCAATCCCTGAGTACACAAGGCTCTCGGCGATTTACAACAGGTTGAAAACAATACAGAATTACGGATTAAAATCAACACATCAGTTGTTAATTTAATAGTCTCCAGATGGCTTCCATAATTTAATCTAAAACCTGCCCTAGGCTGTTCCTTCTATCTTGTGGGCAGGTTAAGGAGGAGGCCGAAGTGGACAGAATGGAAGAAAAGAGGGTGCCAGCTATGATGGAAAATCGTCGCTGTCCTTAACCAAAAGCCTCGCGGAACTCCTCTGCCTTACAGGCCCTGCGGAACTGCATTAAGTCCCGCAGAGCCCTGATGGAAGTTGGCGGAGAGCTCCACCAGGTTGGAGCCAGGGCCGAGAAAGCCCTGGCTCTGGTCGAGGACAGCCGGATATCTCTGGGGCAGGAATCACCAGCAACTTGCTCTCAGCAGAGTGTAGTGCTCTCCCAGAGACATAGCAGAGGAGATGGTCTCGAAGGTACACAGCAGGTTTCTTATATGCAGATATAAAATTATTTATACGTATAGGCTGAGATTGGCTCCCAAAGTAACTTGCAGCAATGAAAGTCCAGCTCTGAAGTTTCGGTAATGTAGACATGCAGGTGTGTGTGTGTGTGTGTGCAGCCTTCTCCTTTGGCCCCTGGCTGTTGAGAACTTTGTCCTGCTTCCAAGCTTAACTCTCCAGGGGGAGGGGCAGATGAGCTGCAGGTGCCCCCTGAGTTAGCTGATGGTATAAATGCTGGGGCAGTGAAGCAGCCCTTCTGTTTATTTCTTTGCCCAGAAGTCATTTTTTAAAAGCTTTTTAACTAACAGTCCTGAGACTGAAAGTGGATAATGCTTCCAGCATGGTATAGTCGTTTAGAGTGGTTTAGAGTTAGAATCTGGAGAACCAGGTTTGATTCCCCACTTCCCTGCCCCATGAAGGCCGCTGGGTGGCCATGGACAAGTCACCGTTCTCTCAGAACTCTCTCAGCTCCACCTACCTCACAGGGTACCTGTTGTGGTGGGGAGAGGAAGGGAAGGAGATTGTAAGCCGCTTTGAGACACCTTAGGATAGAGAAATGCAGGGTATATAAACTTACTCTTCTTCGCAGCTGCTTTGACAGCAATCTGGTCACTGTCACCTTCATTTTACAAGTGAACCTGAGGCGTAGTAACTTTTTTGCTAACTGATAAATTTATGCCTGAGTTGGTTGGATCTGGCTGTCCTGCACTAGCTTTCTGGGAAGAGCTGATTTTTCCCTCAAATCTCTGGAGAACATGATTTCCAGGAGTGCTTTTACCTCCAAGCCAATGCTCCCTCTAAGCTGTGGAGTCTTGCGAGCAAAAATTCTGCTTTGTGAGCTCCTGGCATTAAAGTGGTGAGCGAGCGATTTGGCGACTGCATAAATTAGTTTGCTCCAGAGCCATCCTTCGTGAGCTAAGACGAAAAATCTGTGAGCTGAAGGCTAAAAAACTGTGAGCCAGCTCACACTAACTCAGCTTAGAGGGAACACTGCTCCAAGCTGTCCCTTGTTGTTCTCGAGAATGCTGTGAGGTCGGCATTGTTTTGGATTTCCCCATTGTTGTTCCTGGTGGCTGCTAGGGATCCTTGTAAACAACGGCCTCTGAATACAAGCAGTGCGGGGAATCTTTTTTCCCCAGTTGCCTTCTCAACTTGTGCCCTACAAGTTCCTAGTCTGGGGTTCCCCAACGCGGTGCCCCTGGGCACCCTGGCAGCCGCCAACACCTTTCCTGGCACCCCCCAGAATATTTTTAGAAAGTGGGTAGGGCCAGGTGAAAGTGTTTGCCGAGCAAGGTTTCTGTTTGGCCACTGGAGATTTGATTGGCTATGCAGAAAACTTGCTGCAGCTGCTGCTGTGGCACAAAGATCTTCCCTGTGTGACAGAAGGTAAGCTGCAGCAGCCATTTTGTGGCTGGTTTTATCTCTGCACCCTCCGCACCCACCACACTGTGTCAGAATCCCAAAGGCGCTGATGGGGTCAAAAAAGGGTAAGGGATTCCTCTCCTAGTCCTTCCAAAGATCCCCTCCCACTTGGGCAGTGAACCAAAGCTCTCCATAAATGATGCATTCCCCCCCCCCCCCCCAAAAAAAAATGAAAGTTAGATTCTTCTTCCAATTCCCTTGTTGTTTCTCAGTTCAAGGTGCTGGTATAAATAGGACAGATCTGAATTCTGATTTGAGAGGTCTTGCTAGTCTTGGTGTCTGAACAGCTGGATCTGAGGTACTTGCTTGGCAAAGCCTTCTGTATGGGACCTTATAAAGCAGGTACATTCAGAGAAAAATATGTTCAGGTGTTGTCTGAGTGATGCATTACACACTGTTCCTTTTCGGTGTCAAATGAGGTAGAAAAAGAACTGGCTGGTCTTTGAGGTACAGTCCGTAATCAGAGAAGAATGCACGTATTCTACACGCTCACTTTCAATATTGTCAAACTCAATATCTTTCCGGCGGTAGAATCTCCTGTGCACTTTACGTATTTGGCATACAAGAGTACCTCTCCTTCCTTGCTGGTAGAATCAAGTTCAGTGAAGTAATGTAGTGGCATCACAGTTCAGTTGTTTTTTCATATCCCCTGAAAGTAATAACTTGAGCTGTCCTTGAAAAAGAGCAGTTTGTCTCAGAGTTCTCTCAGCCCCACCCACCTCACAGGGTGTCTGTTGTGGGGAGGGGAAGGGAAAGGAGTTTGTAAGCCGCTCTGAGACACCTTTGGGTAGTGAAGGGCGGGGTATAAATCCAATCTCTTCTCTTCTTCTTCTGATTGATCGCAGTGTCTCTGTACGCTGGAAGCAGCTGACTTGGTGATTTGCTTCTTAGCATGTAGTAAAGAATGGAAACACGTTGGGAAGGATTAGACAGGGTCCATGCATCAGCTGCGGTGGCTCAAGTGGTTAAGACGCTGAACTGCGGGCTGTGGAAGGTCAGTAGTTCAGCAGTTCGAGACCCGAGTGTGCCGCATGACGGAGTGAGCTCCCGTCTCTAGTTCCAGCTCCTGCCAACCTAGCCGTTCGAAAGCAAGAAATCGCAAGTAGATAAATAGGGACCCCTTCGGTGGGAAGGTAACAGCGTTCCGTGCGCCTTGGTGTCTAGTCATGCCGGCCACATGACCACGGAAACGTCTTTGGACAGCGCTGGCTCTTCGGCTTTGAAACGGAGATGAGCACCGCAACCCTAGAGTTGGACTCGACTGGCTTTCGAGCAAGGGAACCTTTACCTTTACTTTAAATAGGGACCACTTCAGTGGGAAGGTAACAGCGGAAGGTAACAGCGTTCCGTGCGCCTTGGTGTTTAGTCATGCCGGCCACATGACCACGGAAATGTCTTCGGATAATGCTGGCTCTTCGGCTTTGAAACGGAGATAAGCACCGCAACCCTAGAGTCAGATTCAACTGGCTTTCGAGCAAGGGGAAAACCTTTAACATCCTCATGAATAAGGAGTAGCAAGGAACTGCCATGTTTTAGGATAGAGTCCATTACTCAGTAAGGCACAGGACTTGCATGCAGAAGGTTCCAGACTTAATTCCTGGCATCTCCATTTTAAAAGGCTTCAAGAAGCAGGTTTGGGAAAGTTGTTTTTCTAGCCTGAGACTCTGGTGAGTTTCTGCTAGTTGAGAGTAGACAATGCTAAGCTACATGAATGGTCTGACTCAGTAGGAGGTGATTGCATATGAATGGAGACTCATGAAGGATCTCTTGAAATGGTTCAGACACCTAGATGCTGATCAGCCATCAGCTTTGCCCCGAGATCTGAATTCAGCCACTGAATTTCCAGGGCTGCTTTCCACTTCAGCCATTAGCAACACGGATCTTCTGTGTCCTGAGAGGTGTGTTTCAAGAGACTTGAATTTGCTGAGACTTTATACATAGTGCTGCCACAGTGTGAATTTTGATCCTTAAATTGTGTTTGCAACATACTTCTTGGTTCATAGAAGAACCTACTGTTGACTGCATGGGAAGAGTAAAATGACATTTCTTAGGGGAGATGAATCTAGTTGCAAAGAAGAGAAATGCTGAGGATTTTACCTTGGATAGTTCATTGACTCTTGAATAGTCTCTCCTGCTCACTACTTTTAAATTATTTTCTGCAGTTTTCAGAATTTTAAAAAGCCAGGGGAAGATTCTCAGGAAACCAAGTTCTGTATTAGGTCGTGCTTAAAGGTCAGCAAATGCACGAATGCATCGAAACGTGTGGGTGAGATCACAGTTTTTCCTGTGTAATATACAATGAGGTCTACAGGCTTCCTAGTTTTATAAATACCAAAATGAACAGCTAACCGCCCCATACTGCTGCCGCCTTATGTGAAGACAGAATGTGAAGAATAAAAAATAAAAGTACTCGGATATTTTTTAAAAGTCGTTAGCCGTTGTCTGGCAGCTTTAGCCTAAGTACTCGTAGTTGTGTGTATTTTCTCAAAGGTGTCTGTGGTAAGAACTGAGATCTGCTGGAGGAGTTTCTCATTTGGCTTGCTTGAGTTGTTGTTGCATTGCAGGATTTGGGCTTCACCTGACACCAGAAGGCAAAATTAAGATGACGTAAACTACCATCTTAATTTACAGTCGTCTTAAGCTGAGTTTTAGTCATTAAGGGTAAAGAAATTGTGGACTTTTCTTGTCCTTTGTTTGAACGGATGTGAACACAGGTCCTCATTGCTTAGACTGAAATACCTGTTGCATACATTTGAGTTCCTGAATGCAGGTGGTTTGAAAAGGACAGGAGATGGTTCTTGCTGGGATGTCAGACTACTTCTGTCTCCCCTTTTCACTTGCAAATTGCTTCTTTTGTCTCCCCCCCCCTTCCTTACCAACAACCACACTAGAGTCTTCCACCATTCAATCTGTCGCCAAACTTCCTTGAGTTTGAGATTTTATTTTTCTCTTGCAGAATTCCCGCCTTGCGCAGTCTTTAAGAAACCTTGTGTGTCAAAGTCCCACCTGTACACCCATCAATGGGGCTCCCGAGCCCCCAAAAGCCTGCACATCACCCCATCAAGTCAACGGAATAAGTAACTGGTTAGTCCTCCTTTTCTTACAGGTTGATCAGTGTGATATTTGAAATGTATCCTGTTGAGTTGACCCTCCTCTGCCTCTACCAGCTTTGGTGAAAGTGGACAAAATGAACGTGCGTTTTTGAAGGGGAAAGGGTTCTCCCATCTGTATTGCTGTTTTGGAAAGTTTTCTTGCCCAGCAGAAGATAGATCACATACTTTGCGTGCAGTTGATGCATTCACGTAGTGAGGCTCATGGTCTGAAGCTGGTCGCTGTTGTCCTTTGGCTTTGGTGTTCTGTCAGGATAGAAGAGAGCCTGTTCTTTGTTGGACTTGGGAGTGGTTGCTACCTGTCAGGTGCAGACCCTTGGCTGTAGTATGAGCTTTTCTGTCTTTCGCTACTTCTCTCTGTATTCCCCTGAACAGCCCAAGAGCTGGGTTCCCTATTCCTAGTCTTGATGTGAGGCCTAAGGGCCACATGCAGAAGGAAATGGCTCCAGTTTCGTGTAGTGGTTGAGTGCGCGGACTCTAATCTGGGAGAGCTGGGTTTGATCCCCCACTCCTCCTCCACTTGCACCTGGCTGGAGGACCTTGGGCAAGCTGTAGTTCTGATAAGAGCTGTCCTTGAAAAAGAGCAGTTTCTCTCAAGAGCTCTCTCAGCCCTGTCTACCTCCCAGGGTGACTGTTGTGGGGAGGGGAAGGGAAAAGAGTTTGTAAGCCGCTCTGAGACACCTTTGGGTAGTGAAGGGCAGCGTACAAATCCAATCTCTTCCCTCTTCTTCTTCTGAACAGAGTCCACATGGCCTTGGCTCCTGAACATGCTTCTTCATGCCTGACCCGGCCAGACAGATTCAGTTTGGACTTGCTACGTGTTTGGAGTCTCCAGAGTCTTTCCAACTCTCATTCCTTGTTGCTTTTATTACAGTTAGTCTTCCCTTGGGCGTTTGCTTCTGATTTATTCATGCTTTCAGAGAAACGTGTTACTCAGCTTGTTATTTTTTCCAGTCTAGAAGTGTTGAAAGACTCTATGACTGGTCCACTGCAGGCAGCAGCGGGCCTGTAAAGTAGCTTCATTAATCTCGTCTTATAAAAACAGGTGAGGAAATATTGGTGTGCAGAATTTCAGGGGGACCCGAAGCTTGGCATAGGTGATGTTTACTTGATTGTCCCTAAAATGTGATGAGACATCTTCCGTGGTCAGTAGGGATCCGAGGCTTGTGGTGTCGTTGCTTTTTAAAGGAAATTTCGTCGTTCCACAGTGTCGCCTCTTGGTGTGATAGAAGCTTAATTAAAAACTTTTCCATCAGCTCTGCTGTTTGCCATACCTTGAATGATTTCCCTTAGGCTCTTGTACGTGAGATGTAGTGCTCTGTCTCTCTCTGTTTCAAAACTGGAAGAGTTAAGATACTAAGCTAGACTGGAAGTTATATATTGACTTGTTATGGGGGTGAGTCAGAGCCATTTCAGGATCTATTAATGAACATGAAAGTTCGCTTGTATGTTTCTTTCCCATAGGACAAACGTAAACATGGTAGAAGAGTTCTTTTGACGGGATTATTGAAAAACGGAGGACTGGGATTTCACTTTTTCTGGTAAAGGTAAAGGTTTCCTTTGCTCGAATCCGACTCTAGGGGGCGGTGCTCATCTCCGTTTCCCAGCCAAAGAGCCAGCGCTGTCCGAAGACATTTCCGTGGTCATGTGGCCGGCATGACTAAACGCCGAGGTGCACGGAAGGCTGTTAACCTTCCCAATGAAGCAATACCTGTTTATCTCCTTGCAGTTTCTTGCTTTCGAACTGCTAGGTTGGCAGGAACTGGGACCAGAGACGAGAGCTCACTCTGTTATGCGGCACTCGGGTCTTGAACTGCCGAACTACCGATCTTCCAGTCTGCCGCTCAGCGTCTTAACCTCTGAGCCACCATGCCCCACCCACTTTTTTTTTGGGGGGGGTTACTAATAATTGAACATCGATCTCACTTCCCAAGTAAGTTTAACTTTTGAGTTAGATAAGAATCTTTAAACTGTCCAGACGAACCATGATGAAAAAAGGGGGGGGGTTACTTCTGGGAAAGGAGAGCAGGATACATTTCAGAGCTGCCTAAGAGAGACTTCCTGTGGATTCTTGCTTCTAGCTGTGAGATTGGGGAGCCACAGAGCAGTTATCATCTTTAGAATGATGAATTTTAACATAGTTGCATGCTGTTGCTAAAATAATGGTTGTTCTACCTTTCTGATTTAAGGCGATATGATGCTGCGTAGCAGGAGGAGTGTTTGTTACAGTGGAGTGATTAATTCATGCAGTGCATCTTTGCCTGCTGTCAGCCCTTCTAATACATTGGGGGCATAAGCCAAATTGATACAGCGATGTTTTGCCTGTCTTTTCTCCCCAAGTTGTAAAAATGAAAGAAAAAGAAATTCTGTTTCTCATTTGGACAGTTGTCTTTGCCCAGCTATGGGAGCCAATTTGGTGTAGTGGTTAAGTGCGCGGACTCTAATCTCGGAGAACCGGGTTTGGTTCCCCCATGCCTCCACTTGCACCTGCTGGATGACCTTGGGCAAGCCATAGTTCTGATAAGAGCTGTTCTTGAAAAAGAGCAGTTTCTGTCAAGAGCTCTCTCAGCCCTGCCTACCTCACAGGGTGTCTGTTGTGGGGAGGGGAAGGGAAAGGAGTTTGTAAGCCGCTCTGAGACTCCTTCGGGTAGTGAAGGGCAAGGGGTATAAATCCAATCTCTTCTTCTTCTTCTTTGTTGTGTTCAACAGTTTGTGTGTCACCAGAAGGCTGTCAGTGGCCTTTAAGGTATGTTACGCTGTTTGTGCAAATCTGTGTACTGAGAGTAGCTAGAATATGCCTGGCACATTTGAGTACATCAAGCAGAGGATAGGGAAGTGGGAAAACTGCCTGTCTTCTCTCTTTGGCCGTCTGTTGTTGTGATGCTGGTGTGCTTGTAAGCTGGTTGCTGCTTGTCTTGAATGAGTGAGTGAGGCATGGTAGCATCGTGGGTAGGGCCGTGCTAGAGGGGCTTGCAGTTGAGTGGGTAGGTGGGAGTAGGTGGGGGTCAGGAGGGGTGGCACACGATAGGGTCTCTGTGTTAAGTGTCCCAGCTCCCAGTGGGTGCTGTGAGGGCAGCAGTGTGGGAACCCACTCATCGAAGCATTTGAATGCTGACTCTTCCATATCCCAAGATGGGGATCTGGATTAGGCCACAGCTATGGTGGCTCAGGGGTTAAGATGTTGAGCTGCAGACCGGGAGGTCGGTAGCTCAGCAATTCGAGACCAGAGTGTGCCACATGACGGAGTGAGCTCCCGTTTCTGGTCCCAGCTCCTGCCAACCTAGCAGTTCCGAAAGCGAGAAATTGCAAGTAGATCAATAGGTACCACTTTGGTGGGAAGGGAACACCCTTCCGTGTGCCTCGGCGTTTAGTCACGCCGGCCACATGACCATGGAGAAGTCTTCAGACAGTGCTGGCTCTTCGGCTTGGAAACGGAGATGAGCACCGCCCCCTAGAGGCGGATTCGACTGGCTTTCGAGCAAGGGAAACCTTTACCTTTTTAATGGTGTGGGTAGGAAGTAGCTTTTTTAACCTCAGAGGGCTTCAGTCGTCATGTGGCTTTCCTTCCCTTTGAGTTGGGGAAATTAACACAATGACACTTGTCACAATCTATAGTAGGAGTGGATTTTTCTGTTGGGGGGCAGGGCAGTGGGGCTTCAGCTGTGCATGTGTGTTGCAAAATTGATCAGTATTGGAGGAGGGGGTATATATCTTGTCCCGGGCAACAATGGACTGGTGTTCCAAGCCGTTCATAGGAGGAGAATTTGCAGAACTGTAATCATAAAGTGCCCCGACCTGGATGGCATGAGATCTTGAAAGCTAAGCAGGGTTAGCCCCGAGTAGTATTTGGATGGGAGACCGCCAAGGAAGTGTAGGGTCACTATGCAGAGACAGGCAGTGGCAAACCACCTGTGAAAGTCTCTTGCCTTAAGAACCCAGCTGTGACTTGACCACACTTTCCAGCACCACTAGTTTTGAAGCACGCTCGGTTTGCTCGCGTAGGCCAGAGGACTGGCTGAAGGAACAGTGAACTGTCATGCCTCTCTCCATTGGCGTGAAGCAGTTATGGCGGCAAGGAGCAGCCTGGCTTCTGCAGGGGTCAGTCAGATTCCATGGAAGCCCACAAGTTGGACATGGTGGTGATTAACCTCTTGTGGGCTGCTGGAGATCTGCTGCCTCTCATAGTGACTGTTTCTAATAGCCACACATCAGTCTCTCCTCTCTTGCACTTTTGAAAAAGTCATAAGAAAATGGCACCCCTCACTAGGAGGCGTGCCGGGTTATTTATAAACATTTAAAGCTGATTTATATTGGGTACGGTCATTGGTCTGTCTCGCTCAGTAATGCCTGCTGACTGCTAGCAGTTCTCTAGTGCTGGGGTGTCAAACATGCGGCCCGGGGGGCCGAATCAGGCCCCTGGAAGGCTTCCATCACACTCAGCCATTTCATGTTTTAACCTGGGTCTTAGACTCAGAACTAGAGATGTAAAATTTCCGGAAATTTTGAAGCTCGGAAAAAAACCCGGTTTCCCCCCAGTTTTTTTCGGGGGGAAACGGAAAATTTCGGAAAAATTGAAAAAAAATGCTACATTAGCATTTCTTTTGTCTTTTCTAGATTGAAAGTCATTCTGTTACTTTAGGAACATAAAATATGACTATGGACATTTTTACTTGGCATGAAATTATCACAACTAGCATATTAAAAATATAGTTTATCCAAACAATTATTACAAACAGAATACTCACCCACATGCAAAAATAAAACTGAAACCTTTTTATTTTCTTCTGACAATAGCACCTTCTAAAGGAAGAAATGCATCTTGTTCTTGCATTGGAGAGTTCAGTTTGTAACCTAGGACTTGCTTGTCCTCAGTGCACAGAAATTAGATCAATCTGATACCATATAGATATATTTTTAGAAATGATTTGGAAAATATTTGAACACCTTGTTTTAAAATATTTTATTCATCATGTTAAAATAAAACGTTCCATAATCAATTTTTTTCTTTTCTTTTTTCAATTTTTCCAATTTTTCCAATTTTTCGGAAAAAAATTAAAAAGGCTTCAGGACAAAAACGGTTCCCCTCGAATTTTTCCAGTTTTTTCCCGGGCCTTCACATCTCTACTCAGAACTTGGTGAATGTCAATAAATCAAAAGTAGGTTAGCAGCATATAGAGCTAATGTTTTAAGCATGCTTTTATTTTAAGTTAAAAAAAACAAACCTCTTTGTGTCTGTGTCCTTTATAAAGCTTATATCTCCGCTACCTGGTATTACATTTTATGACACGTGGCCTGGCCCAACAAGGTCTTATTTATGTTAGATCCGGCCCTCATAACAAAAAAGTTGGAGAGACAGAGATTTTTCACAACCTTCACTACTTGATATGCTTTAACTGGGAGTACCAGGAATGGAATGTGGGACTGTCTGCATGCAAAACAAGTGCTTTTCCACTGGGCCAAGGCCCCTCCCCTTGCCTCAGATAAGGGTTAAATTCCAAGGCTGATAAGACTAGTAGTATGTATGTCTACTGCAGGTCTTGCCCTGAACCTGGATGGCCCAGGCTAGCCCTATCTTGTCAGTTCTCAGAAGCTAAGCAGGGTTTGCCCTGGTTAGTCCTCAGATGGGAGACCAGCAAGGAAGTCCACGGTTGCTGTGCAGAGGCAGGCAATCACAAACCACCTCTGTGTGTCTCTTGCCTTGAAAGCCCCATGAGAGGTTGTCATAAACTGGCTGTGGCTTGATGGCAGTTTTACACACGCAATTTTCAGAGAAATTTGAAAAGATAGTTTTGTTTGTAGTATGAAAGTCGGATGTTGTATTGAAACCATGGCAATGTTGAAACCATCAGTGGGGATCTCTAGTGACAACACATGAAGAAGTGAGGGGTTTGGCTTCTGTATAGAAGCGGCTTAAAATAGATCCAGTCTGTGGGCATTACACTAAAAAACAAACATTCTGTCCCTTTTTCATTTACTGAAGACACATAACGATTCAAACAAATAATCACTGTTCTCATTTCCTTCTGCTTATTACTCAGACACTCCTAATTGTACTTTGTACGTGCTTTCTTGGCAGTCAGATGGCTTTGTCTCCTTTTCTAATCAGACTGATTGATCTCCGAATTTTTGTCTTCCAGTGCTTTGGTTTCTCCTCCTCCTCCTCCTCCTCCTCCTCTAAAAATTAAAATAGAAATCCAGTCTTGGAATTATTATGGAATCATTAAATAATCATTAAAGACGCACACTTGGCATTTTGCAACAGGCTACTAGTTCTTATGATGTAGCAGAACGGACCAAGCCTGAAGTTTTGAAGGGATGATCCTCAATTTTCAAAGGACTGTTCTGCATTTGCTGAACTATGAGTTGGTCAAGGACGGTGGTTGCTCTACAAATTGTATTTATGGCTGTTCTTTCCAAAGCCAGCCCCCTCCCCCAGAGTTTTGCCTGCACAGATCTGGGACAGTATGATCGGTATTAGCAGGACTAACATTTATGTAAAACTCTTACGTAGATAGACACTGTCATCTGAGAAACTTCCTGAAGATGTGGCGCTCTGGGATAATCAGCCAAGACAAACGATTAAGTTTCGCCCTTCCCCCTTCAGACTAATTCTCAGTGTGTGAAATTCTTCCTTTTGGCTGCAGCTTCAACCCTTACTCCACAAAGTCCTCCACCCAGGATGGCGCAGACGCTAGCCGGATTCTCAAGAAACCAAAGCAGCCGAACAGCAGTCTGCCTGCTGCTCCTTCCCCCCTTGACAACAGCTGCGTCGCTGCCAGAATCCGTCCGGTTTGCAGATACAGGAAACGCAGGCTGGTGAGAGCCAGCACGGTCTCTCACCTTTCCAGGAAGGTAGGTGTGAGGTTTCACTTCTACGATGGTTACTGGAAAAAGGCTTTTGTAACGCTCGACTTCCGTCTCATGCGTCAGTATTAAAAACAGAAAGGGTATTGCATGGCGTTTTAAGAGGAATGGATTTATTGGTAGCATAACTGTTTATGGACAGGATGCCTCTTCATCATCAGGTGCGTTTGATGAAATGGACTGTAGTTCCCGACAGCTTTTGTCATGCCAAATTGATTAGTCTTTCCCTTGAGATTGCTTTTTGTTTCTCTGCAACAAACAACACCTGCCCCTCCATTGAAATGTGTCGGTTCAGTAGGAGGCATAGTGGAGAGCCTCTTGAGGGTAGTGGGCTAGAATGGTGGGCTAGCTTCCAATCCCCCTTCCATCCCTGAAGATCAATAAAATGTACTGGATGGGATGTTCTAGGTGTGGGGTGTCTAACGTGCGGCCCGAGGGCCAAATCAGGCTCCCAGTGCTGTTATCCGGCCCGCAGTGGAACTGGCTGTCTTCTGCTTCTTCCAGTTCTGCTGTGTCATTTTGTTTTGCAGCTGACAGATACACACCTGAACAGCATACTCAGGATTGCAACAGCACAGACATTTTGATGCAATAATTCAGAGCAAGGGGTGTCAGTTATCAGACACTGTTAAATAAACAAACTATTGCAAGAATGCTAATGTTTCGAGCATGTTTTCATTTTAAGTTAAAAAAAGACCCTTCGTGTTTGTGTCTTTTATATGAAGGTTATATCTCCGCTACCTGGCATTACATTTTATGACAGACACGGCCCGGCCCGACAAGGTCTTATTTATGTCAGATCCGGCCCTCATAACAAATGAGTTCGACACCCATGTTCTAGATGGTTTAGCACATGTGCTGTCTGAGTGGTGTGACCTAACTGGCTGGCTCCAGCTGCTCTGGTCTATTCTTTCCCTACCAGCGCCTCGCCCTGATAGGCATCTCCAGTGTGGTGTGTTTTGTTTCTTGATCGTGTCTTTCTTTTTGGTAGACCTACCTGGATGACTGCAGTACTCTTGTTCTGTGGGTTTGTGTGTTGGGATTCTCTGCATTGCTTTTAAACCAAGGGGTAGGGGGCAGGATGAGGCCTGGCTTGAGTCAGCTATACTTTGCTATGAGTACCAGTTGCTTTCATGGGCAGTTTGACAGCAGTCTTTAAAACCCTCCATGGCTTGGGACCAGACCCATCTGAAGGACCGTCGTCTTCCATACATTTCTCACCCTGAATTAAGGTTGCAGGGAGAGGCCCTCCTGACTACCCCATCAATCAAAGAAGCTCATTTCGTGGTCACACGAGACAGGGCCCTTTCGTTGGTAGCCCCAAAGTTATGAAACAACCTCTCTAGGGAGGTGTGCCTGGCTGGCCCCCTCCGTTTCGATCTTTAGGAGGCAGCTGAAGATGGTTTTCTTTTGGACTGCGTTTGATTAAACCAGTCCTGAACTGTGGCTTTAAATTTTGGTTTTATGTTTTTTTTATGTGATCAATATTATGCATTTTATTTATAGGGTAAGCCACCTTGTGCTTGCATGAGGAAGAAAGCCAGCTAATAAATGTTTTAAATACTAAATAAATACATTTCCAAGTGTTTTTAAACATCCCACCCATGTTTGCCATGTCAGCTGTTTTAAACACATGAAATGCCCATAACGTCCTGAGTAGGGGTCTTGTCTTGCCCAGGGTGGCTTTGATTACCTGACAGCAGCTGCTGAGCATCTTGGGCAGAGGGTCTTTCCTCATCCTGCTGTCTCTGGCCTCTTAACTGGAGATACCGCAGCGTGAACCTGCTGTACCACAGAGTGATAGCCCCTCCCTGTGTTGGAGTGGTGTAGTTCCTTGCATAGCTCCAGGGGTTGTTTCCTGAAGGAGTGCACAGGAGCGGAGCTCCGGCAGTAAAGAGCCCAGGGGGCAGGCACATGCAACAAGGCCCACCCCCTGCTCCCCGCAGCCCTCAGTCAGAGCAAGAAGCAGCCAGGTAAGCTGCAGAGCCCCCCCCCCCCCCCGCCGCCAATAGCTAGCGATCCAAAACAGTCCAGTGGCACCTTTAAGACCAAGTTTTATTCAGGTACAAGCTCTCCCTCCTCTGCGAGGACAGATCCGCACGTCCCGTGGTGCCAAAACAGTCCAGTGGCACCTTTAAGACCAAGTTTTATTCAGGTACAAGCTCTCCCTCCTCTGCGAGGACAGATCCGCACGTCCCGTGGTGCCAAAACAGTCCAGTGGTGCCTGAGCATGGGGTGTGGCATATGCAAATAAGTTATGCTAATGAGCTCCTGCACCTCTTTTTCTATGAAATGACCCCTGCATAGCTCTAAGCAAACATTAATGCGTGTTTTCTTAGCTCAAGGTTAGGACTCTACCATGAGAGCCAGCAAAGGGAAGCGCCAAGCCATGAACAGTGTAGAAGGAAGTGTCAGCTGGTTTCCTTGCTTGTTCCACCCACAGTGCAGCTATTGTGTGCGTGGCACCGAGAGCTGCTTGGTGATCTTTGTTTTCTGGAACTCAAATATTCGGATAGGAAGAAGCATTTCCCTCCACAGCTAAGCAGTGTCCACCTTGTTTGAATGATTGGACATTACCGTCTGGCTTTATATTGGAAGGGGGCTCATCTAACTTACAAAGGAATAAAATATTGTTAGTCTTAAGGTGCCTCTAGACAAGGGGTGGTCGAACTCGTTTGTTATGAGGGCCGGATCTGACATACATGAGACCTTGTTGGGCCGGGCCATGTGTGTCGTAAAATGTAATGCCAGGTAGCGGAGATGAAAACTTTATAAAGGACACAAACACAAAGATATTTTTTTACTTAACATAAAAACATGCCAGCTTTGGTTAGGAGGGCGAGGTAAAAATCGAATTATTAAATAAATAAATAAATAAAACATCAGCACTCTTACCATATTTTGTTTATTTAACAGCCTCTTATAACTGACACTTCTTGCTCTGAATTATTGCATCAAAATGTATGTGCTGCTGCAATCTTGATTATGCTGTTCAAGTGTGTATCTTGTAAGCTGTAAACCTTTTGATTTATTGGCATTCACCACAGAAATCTCATGCTCAGAGTTCTGAGTTTAGGACCCAGGTTAAAACATGAAATGGCTGAGTGATTAAGAGAGTCTGGCAAAGCAAGCTGTGATGCAGCAGCAGCAGCAGCAGAACTGGAAGCAGGAGATGGCCAGTTCCAGTGCGGGCCTGATGGAAGCCCTCTGGGGGAAGAAAGCTCTCCCCGGGCCGCATGTTTGACACCCCTGCTCTAGACTCTTATTCGGGTTTTACTGGGTTTTCAGTCATCTTTATCAAGTCTGAGTCCCAATTACGTGCTCTCCTAGGGGCAAATGTAACTTTGAAAAGCGGCTGTAGTGAGGGTGAAATGGGAGTTGCAGCCCTAAAGGTGTGTGTGTGTGTGGGGGGGTAACTTTTCCCTGCTCTGTTTCCCAGGTTGCACCCAGATGGTATCCATCATTTTTTGCCTGCTGGCAGCTTTGGGATGTATGTTTGTATGAGAAGTTTCCCTTAGGAAAACAGGGCTATGGAGAGCAGTCAACATCACTCGCTAGCCTAATTCAAACCAAGGCTCCTACAGCTCCTGAACTGTTCATGGGGAAATCTTGTCACAGATTTCCAGGCGTTTGATGCAGCCCCTTGGCTAGGGATTTTTTGGGGAGGGGGCCTTGGGGGCCCCCACCAGCTAATTACATCAAAGGCTTCAGGGCAAGGTGGGGTCTGCGATCTGACCAATGAGTGTGTGACTCAGTCAACCCTTGGTTGCTGCTGGGTCCTAAAGAGACTCAGCTCATCACAGATGAGCTCAAACGGGGAGATGCCGGCTCAGATCGATCAGGGGGTGAGGGGGCCAGAGGGAGGGAGGGAGGGAGAGCTGAGGATCGGGGGGGGGAGGGCCCCACAAAAGGGGGGGGGGACGTTGGCCCCACGTTAGCTACGGGCCTGGTTTGATGTGGTTTCACTCTGAAACAAAACAATTTCAGTTTAGATGGCTGCTTTAAACCTTTTCGTTCCAGCCACAGAAGTCTCTTACCCAGAAATGCAACTGTGAGCACCCCAGTTCTTGCATCTTGTGCGATTGTAAGTCCTCCGTTCAGACTATCGACCCAGCAACAATGTCAGTGGAGGAGCGGGTCGCCCTGCTGGATCCTGGCTTCCATCCCATCCTCTCGTTTTCTCATGGTGAGTAAAATTACAGTCTTTGCTTGTAGAATGAAGGATCTGCCTCTTGAGGCGACCTTTCTTCATCCCGCTTACAAAAGTGCAGTGTTCTAGTCCCATGTATGGCCAGGGGTGCTTCCCAGCCCCAGCTGATTCACCCCATCTAAGAAAGCTGCATTTTTGTCATGTTGGAAGCCTTCCTTTTACTTCTCGAAGTGGGAATTTCTTGGGGCATGAGTACCTCGGCTTTTAAGGCCCCTAACTATAGAGCAGGCACTGAAAACACTGCAATTACTGACAGACTTGCAGAGGGATACAAAGGAGTATTAAAATCGCTGCTGCAGTTGGAAGGGATTTTTATGTAAGCCAATCAGTGGCATCAGTTCCTTAAGTCGTGCTTCTTTATTTATTTATTTATTTATTTATTCTTGTGATTCTCAGCAGCAGAAGTCTCAAGTATTGTCCTTTGCGAAAATTGGTTGAAGATGGTGTAATGATTCCATGTTTTGGTGTGTGCGTGTCTTTAAATGTTGAGTTTGACTGCAGTAGTGTAAGGAGAGCGATAGGGGGAGATGAGTGTGCTGTGATTGGCTGATGACTGAGAGTGTGGGAGGAGGGGTGTCTGTGTGTGTGTGTCTATGAGGGGATTCTGTGATATGAGAGACGAGTATGGAAGAGTTTTGAAGAGAGTCTGTGTGACTCTGAGAGTTATGAAGAATTCTGTGTGTGAAGTCTGAAGAGACAGCATGGTCTGTGTGACTATGGAATTTTCCTTCTATTCTGTGAATAAGGCAGACAGTTTAGTCTGAGTGACTATAAGAGCTGATTCTGTTCTGGGTGAATAAAACAAAGAGACTAGCCTGTGTGGCTATATATATGAGTGTCTAAGCCTGTCAGACTGGAGTTTGGAGTTTGAGAGACTGTTTGTAGCACCAAGCTTTGCCAGTTATATTTACAAGTCCCTTTCTTCAGCAGCTGTTCAAAATAACCAGAAACCTATTTCGTTCTTTATTAAATAAATCAAATTTTGTTTAAACTTATCCCAGAATTCAGTACAGTACTTCCTCAGGGCCACATAGTCCTCTGAAGTGCCCAGACCCTAGGTCATACTACCAAAAGAGAGAGAATTGGAATTTTAATTCCTGGTGGCAGCAGAAATCTACCAAGTTTAGGTACACAAAGCGTGTTTAAAAGTAAAACCGTCTCCCCAATAAGCAAGGACGCCACAGATGGCTTCTGTCGAGATGATTTGTTTCAGCCTACAGCAGCTCCCTCTTAACCATGATCATTTGGTTGGCCATCGTTATTTCCACTGAGGATCTTCCACTCTGGAGGGAATGAACCAAGAAATGATCGTACAGTTAGGAATTGGAATCTGGTAATCAGTCAATCCTAAAAGAAATCAACCCTGACTGTTCCCTGGAAGGCCAGATAATGAAACTGAAGCTCAAATACTTTGGCCACCCAATGAGAAGGGAGCACTCACTGGAGAAGAAGACCCTGATGCTGGGAAAGATTGAAGGTCAAAGAAGACGGGGACGGCAAAGGATGAGATGATTAGACAGTGTCACAGATGCAACGAGCACGAAGTTGAGCCAACTTCAGAGGACGGCGGAAGACCGGAAGGCCTGGCGGGATCTGGTCCATGGGGTCGCGAAGAGTCGGACTCGACTGTGCGACTGAACAAAAAATCTAGTTGCAGCACGTTTAACTCTTGTGTGTGTTGAGTAACAGTGTTGTGCACACTGACAAATTCTTGGGCCTTAGGCTTTAAACCAGTTGTCTGGGTAGGTCTTCAGCTGTGAAGGCGCAACCCATAATGCTTAGGGGGAAAGGAGGGGGAGCTGCTTACGAACAGAGTTGCCGGCTTTTGATTGTAAAAGCGTTGCCCCAGCCTTCCCAGATCCCACTGCTGGATTCCCTGAAGGAGCCGAGCTTTTGTTAGGTTGGGTTAAAAGAATGCCGGCAGGGCTGCTGACCTGCTCAATGAAAAGGGGTATCTGTTGCTTTGCCATCCCGAAAGGTTCCACAGAGCGGTTTCCATAAAATCCAAATGTAAAACAGTACAGAAACGTCAGCCAAAACAACCAGGTCGGGGGGGAGCAAACAAAGCAGAGAGGGTGGTTGAGCGAGCCGTGGAACCCAGAGGTTTAGAAAGAAAGCTGGGCCGTTCACCTGACAATAATGATGAAGCCATGGGCGCCACGAACAAGGAGGTTCCGTGTCTCATAGTTTGTGTGTGTGGAGGAGCAGGAAGTAAGTCTTCTTGACCTGGCCTGTGTGAGGGATTTCTGAGGAAGCAGCAAGAAAAAAATTCCTGTGGGTGTACCCAGATCGAGGCAGTGCTAAGAACTGCTTCCCTCTGGTACTTGCGCTACATTTTGCCTACGCCTTTATTTTGAAATTGGAGGGGCCTGCTTTGGGAGCTCCTTTTGGCTGAAAACAGGTAAAGGACCTTGAAAGTTCTTACGTCTTCCGCTGCATCACCAGTAGGGATGGGCCTGGACTGAACCATGAACCAATACGTTGGTTTGTGAACTGAACTGGTTTGTATAAATTCGTGACCGTGCTTTCTGCTCCCCACCGCTCAGCAGTTTTTCATAAAGAGCAGAAAGCAGGGGTTTAAATGGCTCCAAGAGCCATTTAAACCCCTGCTTTCTGCTCTTCACGAACTGCCTTAAAAATGTGTGGAAGTTCAAGGCGGCTCTTCAGTTCGTCAACATCGCTTTGTGAACCACAAACAGGCCAAAATTCATGTTGCACTTTAGTTCATGAGCCAGTTCCCTGATCACCCGTCTTGAGCAGTGATCAGAGATTCCCCTCCTTAATCACCAGTCTTGAGCAGCCAAAACCCGATCAGTGGGTAGTTTAAATGGTTTCTGAAATGGAATCGTGGGGAAAGGGGCATGTGGAACCAAATCTATTAGGCCATACTGAGAATCAGCAGTGACGGCAACAATGAGGTGCTCTCTCCAGGGCAGGGCCTTCAGCTTCTGCTTTCCCAGAATCCCCGGTTCTAACATTGCGCCAAAGGCTGCTTGTCCAACTGGAAGAATCAGGTGGCTCTGAGAAGCTGTTTCTGTTGCACCAGCAGCACAATACCAGTCTCCAAGGTTACAAGTAAACATGAATTCACCTGGTTCTAAAACTGGTTCTAAAACTACTTGCAGGTCTGTCTGGCTGTGTGGGATGATGGATGGAAAACACCATCAAGTTAAATGGCCAGCCTGTAGGGTTTTCAAGGCAGAGATGAGCAGGGGTGGTTTCCCATTGCCTGCCCCTGCGTAGTAACCCTGGACTTCCTTGGTGGCCTCCCATCCAAGTACAATCCGGGGCTGACCCTGCTTATGTTGCTGTCAGGTATTAGTGCAAGTAACGTGTCTGGTGTTTGGAATACAGGGGTGTTGCTGTTAGTGGCCAGAAGTGTTGGAGCTGGGGGACAGATGTGCCTTCGGAACTCCACCTGTCAAACGGACTTAGGAGGCACGTGTGATGCGGTTGAACTAGGTTGCGGTGAACCTGGGACAGTAGAAAGAAAGGCTGTCTTGTGAGCCGTAGCAGCCGTAGCAGCTGCAGCTGTGCAAGGTGTGTCTCACAGCCACTTGTTTCCTCTGTCTCTAGGCAGACCTCTTCATATACACTTTGAAGCCTTGTTAAGGGAGGACCACAGGCTAAGCCATAAGCTCAAGACTTTGAGGATGACCCACTGGGGGATGAAAGACTTCACCAGCAATGATTCGTCTTCTCTCTCTCCATCTGGTAAATGCATCAGTCAGCAGGGGAAGCAGTGCACCTCTTTGGACTGACACCAGTGTTGTCTTGTGGAGGGGAGAGGTGGCTGGGGGTTGGGCGCATCCAAATCAGACGGCCGCTTTGGCTGTCTGAGACCCTGCGGGCCCGTCCAGTAGCCAGATTCTGCTCACTGAAGTGATGGCTGTCTCGTGTTGCCTGTCTCCGACACTGGCAGTCATGCAGGCTGCCTCTGTACATGGAGGTTTCCTTCCTCTTGTCAGTGGCTGTTAGCCATGGTATGAATATTTTATTCATCATGTTAAAATAAAACGTTCCATAATCATTTTTTTTTCTTTTTTCAATTTTCCCAATTTTTCGGAAAAAAACAAAAAGGCTTCAGGAAAAAAAAACGTTTTTTTCCTGGATTTTTCTGGTTTTTTCCCGGGCCTTCACATCTCTAGCCATGGTAACTACCACCCATGACTTTGACAGCCCTTTTGACAGCCATCTGGGCAAGTGGCCTTAGCCGTATTTTGTGGCCGTGAATCCTGCAAGCTACCTTTGTCCTTCCTCAATCTGTTACAAATCTATTTCATCCGGTGATTGCCAGCTATAATACTGTAAGAGACAGGATTCCCACCCCACCCCCTGTTCTTTCAGTGCTACTGATAATTTTATATTGATTTCCTCTAAAGAGTTTGGGGGTTATAATAGGGCACCTGCAACACACTGACAACAGGTGTGGTATTCTAGGGTCACTTTTACATCAGCCCATTTGCAGAGCCAGCGGTGCCTGCCTATGTTGAGAACAGTTTCTTCTAGAAAAGCATCGTAGAGAGAGGAAGTCCCATCTTCCCTGTGATGCTTTGCCAGATGTTACAGAACGAGCATCTCTTGGTTGTCGGGGCGAAGAATAGCTGTGACTTACTGACTAAGGTGTATTTCCACTGGGTTCTCCTAACAGGTTCTCTCCTTAAAGTGCCGGCCAGTCACAGCTTGCTGGTTCCCAGCTCTCAGGCCCACAAGCCTAGTCACTTGCATCACGTGTCCTCTGTGTGCCTAGAAAATACTTCTGCCCCGCCCTTCAACTACGTCCCTGGCAATTCCGTGGCTGCTGGCAGCTCAGCATTGGTGAGTTGGACCATGGACCTCTCTGGCAGGCAGAACTGCAGGAAGGCAGGAACCGTCTGGTATTGCAGAGTGATGGCCTTTAAGCCTGGGCCATTTTTTTTCTGATGGGTAGCGTGTATTGCAGGAGTAACAGAGCTGCGAATTTCAAGGAACATTTTGTTCTCACTTTGCAGAGGGCATCCTTGGTTTGGGTCATTCATGTCTTGGGGTTTGGCAGCAGGGGCAGCTCCCTGTCTTGACCAGTGTTCCCTCTAAGCTGAGGGCAGCTCCCTGTCTTGACTGGAGGAAGGCCCTTTCTTCTTCTCTGCTTGTTTCCTGCCTCATGTGGAAGAACCAGGATCTTCAGGATCTCTGTTTCCGGCGCTCCCCTGAATATCTCACCTCCGTTCCTGGTTTCTGCTGCTTCTATGGTTCTGTTCTCTCATCCCTGCTGAGAATTATTCTCTCTTAGTCTCAAGTTCACTGTCCTGTTGCAAGCATATCCCCTTAATGGCGTTTAGTTTTTGTAAATGCTTGCAGGGTAAAACTTTTCCCCCCCTTTTCAGAATGCACAAAGCTGGTTTTCCATCACTCTTTAATTTGTCCTTTAGTAAGAATGCGTGTTCATTCTTTATTCTAACTTTCTTGTCTTTATAACTTTTTTTGTGCTCTGCATCTTTTCTCTAGCAATGCTTCACAGCCGAGCTCAAAAGGCTTAAGCCCTGATCCTGAAAATCATGTAAATCTGCCTTGAGTCCTACTGAGGAAGGCAGACTGTAAAAGAAATGAATGAATCTGGCAGGGCCCAGAGCTGCAAAAAAGACCAGGAACGCAGCCAAATCAGTAGAAGGGAGTATAAATGCTATGTAGCCCTAAACTACTCTAAAATGGAAACTTTATTAACAATACTATACTATCAAATGTCTATTTGATAGTATAGTATTGTTTAACAATCAATTTTACAACATAAACATACAGCAAAAAATTGTGAATGAAACCCAACTCATAACTTTGAACTGCCCGCAAAAGGAGCCATGTAGTACAAATCAATGGGTAAACAGTTGCAGGGACGTCATGAACGTGGCTCCGGACTCTATGCAGCCAGGGAATCAATAATACACATTTGTCATGAGACCAGGATTCCGGATGTGACCTTATCGCTTTTACTGGGGGTGGGGTGGGGAGTTACGCAATTTGTGTTTCGATAAGTGTCTTTCTAATGCCTTGTGTGGTTTCAGCAGCCTGCAAAGAAGAAAAAAGTAGAATCGTCCTACGACATCAATAACATTGTGATCCCGATGTCGATGGCTGCAGCCACGCGAGTCGAAAAGCTGCAGTATAAAGAGATTCTGACACCAAGGTGGGCACACTTTATTTAGAAGCTTTTGAGACTTACCGACTTCATAAAGCAGCTGGAACGTTTCCATTTACATATAAGCACACCTCCTTTCGTAAGGAAAGAGGATTAGCTCCTGTGCCAGGAAACCCTTTTGTCAAGGATAACAGATCAGCACACCACGCTTTTTCGCTACTCAGGGACAGGTCTGGGTTGACACTGAAGCCAGATCCATGGTAGGGCACCTCCCAGCCCAACTGGGGCCTCTCCTGAGGGCCCCCTCTGTGCAGTGTCTTCTCTCTGCTCTCCCTCCACTCTGAGGCACTTTATTTAAAACAAAAGAAGTTTATCCTGCCCTCCTTCTTATAGGTATTCAAAGTGGCACAATAACTGTTTCCTTACTGTGCCTCGTGGAGGGGCAGCAGCATCCATGCGTCCAGAACCAGAGATCTGGCTGATCGTGGAATGCATAATACTGTGTTCTCTATTGCAACAGCATTCAGTGCCTATCTGAGTCCTGGAGAAAGGACAGGGATGGAAGGACATCAGAACGTGATCAGCATAAGACGTTTTAAAGCTGCCATTCCCAAGGTGGCCAACGATAGGGGAATGGAAACGAAGTTAAAAAATACGAGAATATATGAGAAACAGTTGAAACACATGAATGGGAAGAGGAGTCAGTGAGGATCATTGAAGAAGGAGGAGGAGGAGATTGGATTTATACCCCGTCCTTTACTACCCAAAGAAATCTCAGAGGGGCTTACGAACTCCTCTCCCTTCCCCTCCCCACAACAGACAGACACCCTGTGAGGTAGGTGGGGCCGAGAGAGCTCTTGACAAAAACTGCTCTTTTTCAAGGACAGCTCTTGTCAGAACTACGGCTTGCCCAAGGTCATCCGGCCAGGTGCAAGTGGAGGAGTGGGGAATCGAACCCGGTTCTCCCAGATCAGACTCCGTGCACTGAACCACCACACCAAACTGGCTCTCAGTTTGAGGGAACACCAGGCAGAACCCATTGCTCCAAAGTTTTGGTGCCTCTGTAGAGAAGGCCCTTTCTGAAGTTCAGTCTATCTAGTACTGCTCATATGGCCGTCACCTTAAGCAGAAATTAGAACCAAAGAAAATATTGTAAAAGACCTTACTCAGTGTATTATTTCTCTTATATCTGATTATTGCGCCTATAAATTTTGCCACTGAGAGAGTGACACGATCATTGGTATCCAATAGTAGCCACGGCACCTGGGCTCGCACATTTAGCAGTTCCATATCTTTCAAGTAAAGGGGTGACTAAATTAGCCCTCAACTCGTCAAATATAGGGTACTCCATAATCATATGTTGTTTCGATTGTATGATATGAGCATCTGCATGCTCTATTAGGGTATGATACTTTGGTGCAGTGGTTAAGTGCGCGGACTCTAATCTGGGAGAACCGGGTTTGATTCCCCACTCCTCCACTTGCACCTGGCTGGATGACCTTGGGCAAGCCATAGTTCTGACAAGAGCTGTCCTTGAAAAAGAGTAGTTTCTGTCAAGAGCTCTCTCAGCCCCACCCACCTCACAGGGTGTCTGTTGTGGGGAGGGGAAGGGAAAGGAGTTTGTCAGCCGCTCTGAGACTCCCTTGGGTAGTGAAGGGCGGGGGGTATAAATCCAATCTCTTCTTCTTCTTCATTATATCTGCCCTCCAAAACTGCCGAGGGAAGAACATTCAGTCTTGCCAAAGTAAAAGCTCTTCTTAGTTTTGGGACTGTCAAGTTGCCACTCGTCTAGGCTCAGAGAGCAGCCCCCCCCCCAGCAGGGCCGCCAAAGATGAGCGGGGTGGGGTGGGTGGGCTCGCATGGGCGCAGGTGGTCCTTAAGGTATGCTATCCTCAATCTGTCTAGGGCTGGAAAGGTCAGTGCCAGCGCCTGGATTTACTAGCTGGGCTCTGGTCAGCATGGGCCTGTTTACCTAGAGTGTAACTTCTCACTGGAGGAGAGGAGGTCAGGCTGCCAGGGTTGTGTGGTACTCTTCCCATCATCCATGGCGTTGGGAAACAAGGTGCCGTTTTCGTCTCCATTGGGGAGGGAATGCCCGCCACCTTCATTTTTGGACATTTGTGCCGCTGTCCAGTGAGTCCGCAGCGTGTGCCACGACAACCCTTATTTAACTTGCAAGCTAGACAGACTGAGTCCAGCCGTATTTTTGTCTTGAGGAACTGGCTGTTTGGAAAGAACCCTGTGCAGAGCTTGCCCTAACCTTGAGTGGTTGTTTTGCAGCTGGAGGATGGTGGATCCCAAAGAACTGGAGGCTTCAGGAGAAGCAAGCCCAGAGGTAAGCTCTCATATCTCTATTAATGAACAGGGTTTTTTCTTCTTCTTTTTATTAGGATTGCCGGCTGGGGCTCCTGTGCTTGTAGCTTTGCATTTACTGCCTAGTGTGCAGATTTGGCTACTCACGTGGCAGACAGTGCTTCGCTGTCAGTTGCCAACCAAACGAACGTGTGCGTCCTTGGCTTGCCGTGCGGCTTGAATCTGCCCGCAAGGGCTCGTGTGCCACTGTTCTCGCGGGAGCACAAAACGTTTAATGTGAAAAGTGATTTATCGTCTCTGCTTTGCGGGATCTGAGTTGCCATCGTTGCACGTTCTGCAGATGCTGGCTTGTATCCTGCAAAGCAGCAGCAGAAGGCAGTCCCTTTCAGCCTCCTGTATAAAATCCTTGCGGTCATGAGCAATGTTCCCTCTAAGCTGTGGAGTCTGCTGAGCAAAAATTCTACTTTGTGAGCTACTGGCATTAAAGTTGTGAGTGAGCGATTTCGCTACTGCATAAATCATTTTGCTCTGGAACCATCCTTCCTGAGCTGAGACCAAAATGTGTGAGCCGAAGGCTAAAAAACTGTGGGCTAGCTCACACTAACTCAGCTTAGAGGGAACACTGGTCATGAGACCAGCCTGGGTCTGAGGATGGGAAAGGAAATGAAATCATCCCTTTCCCATCAGCAAGTCTGCACTGAAGGAATAGGGCAAGAGAGCAGCTTTGACCCTTTCTTCTCTTCACTGCAGGCCCCCCCCCCCCCCCCAATAGCTCTTTGCACAGGTCCCATGACACCACCCCCACCCCCGGAATAGTCTTTTTGGCAGGCAAAAAGGACTGCAAGGGAAAGGGGGAATGTATGGGAGATAATCACTGACCCTTTGAAAGATGCAAGCTACGACAGTAGTGTTCTTTGGGGAGTAATACAGAATTTGCACCGTTGTCAACGAAGCTCTGAAGCTGTTTTCTTCACAGTTTCAGACTTGCTAAAGCTGTCCTTTCTCACCATCTGTTTGCTTAATGCTCGTGCTCTTAAGGGGGAGGCAGTGGGAGGAAACCAGCAGTTCAAGGGGTATAGAGAGAAGAAGAAGTCGCTGCATCTTCTAAAAAAATCCTACAGTAATTTTGCAGCATTGAACTTTGCCTCTGCAGGTTGCAATGATGGTTATTGCACTAAGCCCGGGAAGCTTTTAGCACCAGTCTGTAAACCACTTTGGCTCTTTAGAATGTCCAGAGATAACACACTTTCATCTTAGCTGGACGACACTTCCGATGAGGCCTACCTGACCCATCATCAAATGTTTGAAGAGCTGGAACGGACCCGCTGGGATTCCTGGGCAGGAACCACGTCCCACAGGCGAGGAAACAGGTAGCTCTCTGGCGTGGGCTAGGCTTCCTTTCAAATGATGGTCTTAGCAAATGGCTTTGGTCCTGGATTTACGGGTGAATCTCTGATAGAGACTGGGGTCAGGAAGCAGTTTTTCTCCAGGCCGGTTTGGCCAGGGATCCTGGAGGTGTTTTTGTCATCTTCTGGGTGTAGAACAGCGGTCACTGTGGGTGTGGAGGGGGAGGTATTTGTGAAGGGGGAGTGGACTAGATGACCCTGGAGGCCCCTTCCAACTCTGTGATTCGATGAATAGGAAGAGGTTGCCAGTGAGCCATGGCTTGAGTGGCTCTGGTGTTTCCCTAGATTCAAATCAGCTGGCATTTCCTGGGGCCCTCCCTCCGCTCACTGGCATGCAGCAGGAGAAGGGGCTGGGTGTCCCACCCCTTCCCCAGTTCTTGAAATATTTCCTCAAGCTCCCGTGGCCTTGGTAGAGAGAGGTGAGGGGGGGGGTCAGTATCATCCAAGTCTTCCTCCTCCTCTCCTAGCTTCTTTCTGCCTGTGGGAAATCAATAGACATGTCTTCATTGGCCGCTTTCCACCCTCTTTTTAAAGGCAGCCCTGCAGGCTGCACATGCCCTGTAGGAACTTCTCCCCAACAGGGAGGAAGTCTCAAAGTGGTGGATGGGTACCCTTTCTCCAGTGCCCATCATTCGGCATTCCTGCCCCTCCTAAAAAAATTCCTGCCCCTCCTCCTCCCATGCTGGGCCAGCTCATTGGCTGAGGGAGTTGTCCTTCACAGGCAGACCTGGCCCCTTGTCCCCACCTCTCTGCCTGCTGCCTAGGTGAGACGCAGCCAGTGGCCTGCTGAGCACAGGGGTATTCAGCTGTGTGGCCAGCCCACCACCACCAAAGGACCAGCCCAAGTGCCTTCTCCAGTCTTGCAAAACAGCTGTGAGGCAGGCAGGGACACTAATTGTCTGTTGTGCCCACTACCCTGCCTGGTAGTGCATGTCTGCTGGGCCTATGAAGTGTGTGTGTGTTGGGGGGGGGTCAGGGCAACTCTCCTCCCACTGCAGGGCCAGTTTCCGGCCACCAGCGGGCCAAGTCACCTCTCCTGACAGCAGAAGCAGTTGCCAGTCGGGGAGGGCTGTGCCTGGATCTCCAGCATACGCTTAAGGTGGAAATGATGGCCACTGGCACTCCAGTTTGGTGTCTTGGTTAAGTGCGCGGACTCTAATCTGGGAGAACCGGGTTTGATTCCCCACTCCTCCACTTGCACCTGCTGATGTGACCTTGGGTCAGTCACAAGCTCTGGCACAGCTGTTCCTGAAAGAGCAGTTTCTGTCAAGAGCTCTCTCAGCCCCAGCCACGTCTGTTGTGGGGAGGGGGAAGGGAAAGGAGTTTGTAAGCCGCTCTGAGACTCCAGGTGAAGGGCGGGGAATAAATCCAATCTCCTCCTCCTCTTCTTCTTCTTCTGTGAGGACAGGCTGAAGCGTCTGGGACTTTGCAGTTTAGAAAAGAGATGACTAATGGGGGACACAGTAGAGGTTTATAAAATTATGCATCAGGTGGAGAGTGGGCCAGAGAGAGGTTATCTCCCCCCCCCCCCGAAATACTAGAACTGGAGAACATCCTGTGAAACTAATGGGTAGTTGACTCAGAACGCACAAAAGAAAATACTTCTTTGCACAACAAGTGATAAAAATGTGGAATGTGCTGACAGAGGACGTAGTGATGGGCACTAGCCATAGTGAGTAAAGAGAACCTCCATATAAAAGTGCAGTAAAACTCCATGCCGGCAGGCAGCATCTGGAGAAAGCCTTGTTCTCTTTGCCCTGTGTATTGGCCTTCCAGAGGAACTGGTTGGCCACTCTGTGAAGTGGGATGCTGCACTAGATGGACCCTCCCTGGTCTGACCCAGCAGGGCTCTTATGTTCGTACTCTCTGCTTCCTGTTCTTTTGCCTGGACTATGCAAACCTTCCATCTTGAGCTGTGCTGGATTTTCACATTAGATTTTCACAGGGACTGAGCTTAGATTTAGGTCACAGCGTGGTATGTGTGTGCGAGAAAACTCTGAATTCATGCTGCCACGGCCTCTACATGTGGTGACCCAGGATGTCCTCTGAATGTTGCCAGATCTTGCCGCCCGTCTTTGCTCACGAGGCTGTTCTGTTGTGTGTTTCGTTTTAGGGTCTCCAACAAAGCAGACGGCCACTGCCTCCCTCAGCCGGGCTCCCTGGACGCACTGTCCCATCACCTGAACCACCTCTCTCCCACGGGATCTTTCAGCCCAGAGCTTTTCAGTATCCTGCAGCCCCTCCTCATCAAGGGCAGGAGCAGAGGCCTGTCATTCACCGAAGACACAAGTCTCTCCCTTGCAGAAACGGAGGATGATGTCCAGGTGAGGGGGGGGTGTAATGATTTCATGTTTTGGTGTGTGTTTCTTTAAAAGTTTAGTTTGACTGCAGTAATGTAAGGAGAGTGATAGAGGGAGATGAGTGTGATGTGATTGGCTGATGACTGAGAATGTGGGAGGAGGGATGTCTCTGAGGTGATTCTGTGTTGTAGAGAGACGAGCATGGAGAGTTGTTGAGAAAGGTTAGCCTATGTGGCTATATGAGAGAGAGTTTAGTCTGTGTGGCTAAGAAAGGCAGTTTAGCCTGTGTGGCTATATGAGAGAGTTTAGACTGAGTGTCTAAGCCTGTCAGAGTTAAGTTTTGGTATTTGAGAGACTGTGTGTGACGCCAAGCGTTGTCAGTTATATTTTCTTTATCTAACATCAGTTCATAAGTACCCAGAAACTTATTTTGTTCTTTTATAAATAAATCATTATTTGTTTAAACTTATCCCAGCAATCAGAACAGGCCTTCCTCTGTGCCACATAGTCCTCTGAAGTTCCCAGACACTAGGTCATTCTACCAAAATAGAGAGATTTGGAATTTTTAAATCCTGGTGACAGCAGAAATCTACTAGGTTTATGTACACAGAGTGTGTTTTAAAGGAGAAACAGTCTCCCCAATAAGCCAGGACCTCACAGGGGGGCTGCTGCTGTGGAGGGGGTGCCATTTGCCAAAATGGCTGCCACAGGAAGCAGAGCCAGCCATAAAATGGCTGCCTCAGCTGAATGTCTACTGCCTTGAAAGCCCTGTGGGGTTGCCATAAGTTGGCTGTGACTGTTAGCAATGGATAAGATTGCAGATTCCATTAGGTCTTTTGAAGGCAATAATCCAACCTCCAATGCTTTAACCAAATGGCTTCCTTTTATGGAATATGTTATCGGAAACTCCCCCCCAATTACTGCCTACCAAGCAGAATATATACCGTGACATCATTGCTTTTGTATAGGGGGCTAAAGAGTCACGTCTATATAGGGATTTGATTTGTGGCCTTTACTGTTATTTCACTAATTTGTATTTCTGAGATGTTGTGAAGAGTTTGCTTGTATAACACTTGTTACTGTATTTATGTTTTGTGTTTATTTGAATTTGAAAATTAATAAAAGTATTAAATATTAAAAAAAAATAAGTCGGCTGTGACTTGAGGGTCAAAGAAACGCCCACAGCCAGTCAGAAGCCTTGTGGGCAAAGCCTCGCCTGAACGTTCTAAAAGCCCTTTGCGGTCACTGGGAAAGGTGTCGCTGGGTCGCCTGGCACCCACGGGCCTGCGTGTGTGTGTGTGGTTGTGTGTGTTGTCTTTATTGCCCAGTATGCTGGCTCCTGTGAGACCGGGGTGGGCAAGGGGGAGGGGAGTGAAACCCTGCTGCTGCCGCTTTGCCTTTTTCTTTAAGGTCTCTGTGACACATGGTTGACAAACAGCCCAGTTAAAGCAGTGCTTCCAAAGGAGCTGCTGTAGTAGTCACTTCCTGAAAACAAGGTGGAGGGAGGTCAATGAGCCTTGCTCCCCCCCCCCCCCC